GGCAGACATGGAAGGGAGAGCGCTGTTGGCAGCAGAAAAGGAGCACATTGCCAAGATCCCGGGGACGATGTCAGATGGCAACAGCTGGAGGAGCAGGGAGGGTGAAGGCTATGGGGAGGGAAAGATGAACTTTTGAAGCTGTTTCGGTTTTAGTAATATCAATTTAATAGCAGTTTATTCAGTAATTTATCATTCATATAATTTATTCTGTAGTCCAAGATGGCACTGGAACATGGCGACATTATACACTTTTCACTGTACCCAGGTACAAGTGACAATATTAAATAAAATTAAATCTAAATCTTTAGTTATTGTGGCAATAGACACCTTACACCTATGTCGTAGCTTGGACCCATGGACAGTGATGCTAGTGTTTCCAATTTCTTTCCATCATATGGCTGAACAGGAATTACTCCCATTCTCATTATCTCCCAGTGGTGTATAGTGGATGGATGTAGAGGTTATTACTCACTCAACTTGTTTAGCCACTTTATGAACATATTTTCCTTGGCCATCAAATCCTGAATAGGGACTTACCAGACTCAACAGCAGGAATATGCCCATTGAGCCACAAAATTTCCCAAAAACAATCAATAACTTTAAAGAGCTGAATTACATACAGCAAACTTAGTCTTAACCAGCACTTTATGAACTGGCATTCTCGATAAATCAGCAAAAATTATATACCTCAAATACTGCAAAGTTTACTGTATTATTCAAACTAATTATTATAGCTTTTTAAAATTTATTTAACGCAACGTAAATATATTTGTTGTTCAATCAAATGGTCACATAAAATATCAACTGTTGTTTCAATTTCAAAGCAACTTCTCTTCAAATACCCCAATCTATGTGTAGTCAGTTGAGTGTGAGTGAGAAACCTATCTGCCTGTAGGTTTTGTTCAAGGCAAAGTTGAATTATTATTTCAGTGATGTATGCTGTAACTAAAGTATAACAGTGATGTGTATGCCCCCTGCATTATGTTTCTAATACTGTGTGTGTTTTACACTGATAGTGTGGATTTCTTGATCATCCAGATATTTGATTTACCAGCACACTCCAGGTCCCATAGGTGTCAGTTAATAGAAGGTTTGCTGTATTTCAGGTTTATAAAACATTTTCAACAATTTACAGTTGAACAACAGGAACGGCAATATGAATTCCTATAACTCTCTCCTTTTCTGAGGAAGGGTGCTTTTGCTCTCAAGTGAGAGCAACAAAGGTTTACCAGGCTGATTCTGGGGATGGCGGGTCTGACGTATGAGGAGAGATTGGCTAGGTTAGGATTGTTTTCACTGGAGTTCATATGAATGAGGGGGGATCTCATAGAGACTTATAAAATTCTAACAGGACTGGACAGTATAGATGCAGGGAGGATGTTCCCGATGATGGGTGTGTCCAGAACCAGGGGTCACAGTATGACGATTCGGGGTAGACCATTTAGAACGGAGATGAGGAGACATTTCTTCACCCAACGAGTGGTGAGTCTGTGGAATTCATTACCACAGGAAGTAGTTGATGCCAAAACATTGAATGTATTCAAGAGGTGGCTAGATATAGCACTTGGGGAGAATGGGATCAAAGGTTATGGGGAGAAAGCAGGATTACGCTATTGAGTTAGACGATCAGCCATGATCATGATGAATGGTGAAACAGGCTCGAAGGGCCGAATGGCCTCCTCCTGCTTCTATCTTTTAGGTTTCTATGTTTCTTCACCTGCAGGAAAATGACACTTGGACAACAAACGGATCTGGAAAATTGAGTGGTTTGTATGGGACATCCACAGATATGACTGAAGAGATTGTTTTCAAGGGTTTTAATTTTAATAAAGGGAGATAACATAGTGAAGGGAACTGAACTGAAAGTTCCATGTAATAGGACTGCAGTGTACAAACAGGATTAGCCATTCAGCCCCTCAAAATTGTCCTGCCATTCTGCCAATGAGATCATGGCTATATATTAACTGTATGTTAACTCCAACTACTCAGCTTAGCTCTAGTGGGGAGAAATACTATCATTCTCAGATTTGAAGTTATTAATTGAATTAGCATCTACAGCATTTTTTGTGACAGTGTCCCATTTCTACCCTTCACACAAACAATCTAACCTTGAAGTGCATTGCAATGGGCAAAATTGTTGCAGGGTCTGCATTTATCTGTATTCCTGCTTGCGTCCCAGGGATCCACAAGAGGACAGCTTCTTTGGGATTCGACATGATTCAGGAATATTTTTGTCATACACAGGAGACTGGTGGAGCAGCACAGGAAGGAAAATGGAGTGAACCGGAGGTGAATAATGGCAGTAGAGCTTCTCACTAAAAGCCTATGATTCAAGGCCGAGATTGCACAGCAGCTAAACCCAACAGGAACCAAATTTGAAAAGGCTGATAAAATTCACAAGAGAATAATACAGAGGGCATATTGATGGGTATTGAGTAAATTGCTTTTTATAGAAGTGTTGGAGCAGGCCATTCGGCCCATTGAGTCCACACCAACCCTCCAAACAGCATCCCACCCAGTCCCAGCCCATCCATCTAGCCTGCACATCCCTGGACACTATGGGCAATTTAGCTTGACAATCCACCTAATGTGCACATCTTTGGACTGTGGGATTAAACCAGAGCACCTGGAGGAAACCCACGCAGGCACAGGGAGAATGTACAAATTCCACATAGACAGCCGCCTGAGGCTGGAGTTGAACCTGGATTCCTGGTGCTGTGAGGCAGCAGTGCTAACCACTGAGCCACTGTGCTGCCCCAATTTCTCCACTTCAAACCTGCATTAAGGAAACGTTAGGGTACTAGATTCCTTCGTAAAAAATATTTTTCAACTTGGAGCAGAATATTTTAAAGGTATGGCAAGGGAGATCTAACCCACATATTGCATGACCTATAGTATATGGGAACTCTTAGACACACCTAGCAGTCTGGATGACCACATCTGGAGGACGTACCACCAGGCTGATCAGCCTGATTTCAGAGCCGGAGTGTCAATTAGAGACACAGCAGTGCATCCTGGAGATCGAGAGTTACATTGATAGCACATGTTTAGATGGGGTCAACGTGCAGCTTATGGAAGTGTAGTCAGAGAAGGAATGGGTAACCATCACTCAGAAGAAGGGAGGAAAGTGTTGAGACCATCCCAGTTTTCCCTTCTGCTTCTCCTTTTTGGTTTGGAACTGCAAGCTGAATTTGAGAATTGAACTGTAAACAGTAGCTTGTTCTAAAAAAAAACAACCTGATGTTTGCTTTTGGGAACTGGCCAGGAAAGATTATTGCATGTTAATTATTGCTCTAAGAACACTGCAGATGTTTCGACACGAGATGTGTTTCACTCAAGGACTGGCAGCCAGTTGGATGTTGCATTGGTCATTTGTGGGGAGGCTGACCAGCCAACCAAAGAGAAAGTTGAAAACGAAAGACGAAGCATTGATTGCACTGGCTTTGACAGGGTTTTGTGCCTGTAATACAATGCATCATTCAAGGAATTTCATGAAGGTTTGGTACTCATTGATGAAACACTTTTCGAACTGGGCAGTTACTATTCTTTCATTTCAATTCCTCTCTTAAATGTGTCTTTCAGTCTATATGTGTGAGTGTAGGATACAATTAAAGAAGATTGGTTTTAAAATCATAGACATTAATTAGATTACCTTGTTTTTTTAGCTTTGCTGTACTAAAGTTACAGTACTAATAATTGTCATTTTTTTTCTTTAAATTATTCTTAAAATTTTGTTAGGAACAATTGGACAACTTGCAGGGTCATCAAACATTTTAATTTCACTGCGTTGATAATCTAATGTTAGTGAGTCTGATTTAGTCTTGCTTTCTATCCCTGTGTCGAAACAAGGCAAAGAGTCAAGAAAGCCTCAGAGTGCATCTCACTCAAGAACACTTTTTCAGTATTAGAAAATGAGTGCCGGTTTCTCAGGGGAGAGCAACCCAGAGCCCAGGTGCAAAAGGGTGGAGGAGATAGAGACGAAAAGCAATCATCATAGGAGACTCAAGGTGTTTCTGCTGTCTTCATCTGCACACTGAGGAATCCCTCCATTGTATTGTGTGGCGCTGTAAATCTGCAAATGGGCTGGAGTCAGAACATATCTGGCACCTCACAATTGTGAAGATATTTTCGAAGGTATAGGGAAATGGTTCAGCTGTCAGGAGTCATGTCTCGGAGTTAGATATTTCTTGGCTCAAGTCAGGACGTGACCACTAAGTCTAGGCTGACACTACACTGCAGTACAGAAGAGGAGCAGCATTGTCTTTTGAATGGCTTAAACTCAGGCCCTACCTGCTATCTCAGCGATGTTGAAGAATCCAGAGTACTATCACCTTTCCACCTTGAACCCTGGAATCCAATCTACTTGGCTCCCTATCCCATCCCTAGCTGGCATTCTATCCAGCTAGGACCCGAACACTACTCATATGCCACTCTACCCTGGCCTCCTTCCCCATCCTTAGCTGGCATCGTTCCCAACTGGCATCCATTCTCCCCAGTCCATTTGGTACCCTACCACTACCAACCAGTCCCCATTCCCAGCACCTAAACATCACATTTACCTTGCTACTATGGACAGGGTCTGTGGGTGGTTTGTCTTCCCCTGACAGTTCTACACTACAAAAGAATTGTCAGAATGGAAGCACGGCTCCACATTTCGGAGGGAGCCCGGAGTAGAATCTCCATTCAGAAAAGCAGATCTCCCTTCTTTTACAAAAAAAAACAGAAGGCCAGAGTCGCATTTCGCATGAGATTACCAATCGTTGAAAATCCAGTCCATTATCCATTTGGCTGTACTATTTCTTTTCTGGGAGCTTCCTGTGTAACATTGGCAATTGCATTTTAGACAGTACAACAATAACTACATTTCAAAAGCACTTAATTGGGTGTAAAGTATCCCAAGGCCATGGAAAGTGTATATTTGTTGCTTTAATTTATTTTTGTTGAGATTTTCACTCTTGACGTCAAGAGTATCACACCTGCGTATCACAGCTGGCTACTGGTTTAAGTTGTCATCCTTTTATTTTTAATGTTATCAATGTTTGTACACAGTATTTCACAATACTGTCCATCACATGCTTCCTCCCCATTGCTGACATATGACGCTGGACAGGATCCACTCTTCACTTCGAACCTTAAAGCCAATCCAGTACCCTAAGCAGATGTCTTTCCCCATTTGCTGGCTACCACTTACTGACAGCGAAGTCCTAAGGTTGTCTTGGCTGATCTCACATGCACCAGAAGAAAATGTACACTGCAACTCAGCTACTGCAGTAACCACATCAAAAAATACAACCTGGCAGTGTGTGACTAAGTCACTTACTCCAGCATTGCATCCACTGAGGTTGAAGTCTATGCATGCCCCCTGCTGGCCTGCCTGCAGCCTCATGGGCTCTCCCCTCTGTCATGCCTGCTCACCATGCACCTGTTTGAAAGGTAGAGAAAACAAAGAAATGGAGGAGAGTCAGGGATGTAGCTACACAAAGACAATAGAGACATGTATGAGGGATCATACTTGATGACATAGCAATTCCATGCAGACTCCATTAGTAATGTAATAAAACTCTTCTGCATGGTGTGTGGCACTACACTTCTCTAAATCTCATATAATATTCATTGCAATGCTACTCTATAACACTCCTCAGTCACATTTACTAATGATCAAATTTAGTCTGCAACACCTGGTTTTGGGTCACTTTTCTTATGTGATGCATTCCAGATGACTGCTTGCGAGATCTCCCACATTGCTCAGCACTGCAGAAGAACACAGTGAAATACACTAAGTCAAATCATGTACAATAGTCGTAAAGAGGAAAGAATCAACATTTCAAATTTGATTCTTCAGTCAGAATAATTGGCATTTCTTAATGCTTACTCTGTTTTATTTCAGACTGGGATGTGTGTTTTACATCTCTGTCCTTTTAAGTATTACACACTTACATCAAACAAAGGGTCTTTTTTTTTATTCACTGTTACAATGACAGGTTAGAATTCCAAAATACTATGGGTGTTTTTAGCCATTAATTCCAACAGGATTTTGTAAAAGAAGCCTGATACAGCCAAAATGGCTGTGGATGCAAATTAAGTGGCTGCCGAGAGAGAAAGACTGATTGGTTGCAATACCTAAAGCTATCCAAAAATACTTTTAACTGGGCTGTGACCTCCTGTGCCAACAAAGATAATGAAGGGCTGACGACCTCCTGCTCAACAGCAAGCCACCGCCTGACTATGTCCTAAACTGCAGACACATTTTGTGCACAAGGACAGGGATTAAAAAGTCAGTTTCAACTCCACTAGATTGGACAGTGGGACTGCAGAGCTTAAATCTGATCTTTTGGTTGTGGGATCCTTAGCTCCATCTATTGCAAGTCGTGTCCACTGTTTGGTACACAGTCGACCAAGCTTCACCAGATTGAGGCCTCATTTTTAGTGCTGCCTCTGGCATGCCCTCTGTACTGTTCAGTGAACGAGGGTTGATTTCCCAATGTGTTGATTATTCTGCCAATCAAAGAAAACTAGGGTTCTGATTTGCAGCCTGGTCATTGCATTCATTTCAAGAAGCTGTAAGGATTAAACTATACAATCACTACAGTCGTGGGCAGTACTCTTTATCTATTTGAGTGTGGTGTCGTTCAGTTTCCATTAATGCTTCAGGACGCAAATGTAACCGGTTTTCCTTGCTGCCTGAAGGTTGTTCCAAGTATTGTCTTGATGGCATTACGCTGCATGGGAACTTTATCATTGAGATTACAGTACTTCAGCAGTGGTATTGTAATCTCTGGTTGTTTCATTCTAGCAAAAGCTGCTTTCTGCTCTGTTCCAATACCACTGCACGTCTTTAGCAGTGAGTTTGAATGGCAGTTCACACTAATTCATGACTCACTTGTGTAGTATATTGGAAACCAAAGTCCCCCTATTCTCGGAGTCATCGCACATGTGAAAATATTTAGTCCAACTATCTAAAGTCTCCCAATTACCTGACTGATCAACTCAGGTTAAAAGAAAAAGCTCATCAGGTTACTATACTGAACAAGAAAATAACATTATGAATGAGGTGTCTTTAAGCAATGGCAATTAGCAATATGAATTGCTAACTTATAACTCTCCATAACTTAAACTCCACCCCTTCTAAAATTCCCCTTTTCACAAAGAAAACCATACCATATGAAATTCACATTGTGCTTCACTAAACATGACTTTTAGAACTTGGTTTAAAGGTCTACAATTTAAAAGGAATGGAAATAAGACACGGTCTTAACACTGATGACAAATAGAAGAATGAGATATATTAGAAGAGATCGGAAGAACTTTGTTACATAGGTCACGAATCCAACAAACTACTGTAAGACTTTCACATTTGTTCGTTGCTGCTTCTCTGCTACAGTTCTCACCTGTCGGAATCCAGGTCAGATTCATTTTTTGTCAGTTTTTGACCTACGTACTTGACTTCAGGCATTTTAATTATACCTTTGTTTTTGTTCAGTTTCAAATTGTTACCAGGGACTGCTATGTCTTCTATAATTAAAAATTAGCAGCTAAACCACAACAGCTTCCAGTCTGTGAAGATCATCGACTTTCTTCTGCTGTTTGCATTGATATTCTTTTGGAACAGCGAAATGCCAAAAGCATTTGAAACCACCAGTATTCCCACAATGGCAGCCAGAAAGTAGTTAGAAAACTGCTGATTTCATTCAGCTTAACTTGCCAGTGACCATTCTAACAAGTGCAGTGTAGACGATTGCCTTGGCAAGTTGAGCCAAAATTTCTTCAATGGTTGGCAAGGGGAGTGAGGTCTCTTCAAAGCTTTACTGAAGTCTTTTGGAAATGTGCATACTCTCAGCTTTCTAGGTTCATTCACTTATAACATTCTGATAATCCAGTCTAAAGGAATTGTCACTTGTTTGATTACTACCCTCTTTTCCAGTTCTTCTATTTTGTCTTTCAGACTGGAGTTGGTGGTAGCTGGGAACTTTCCTCAGCAGACGCTGTATTGCTCTCACATTCTTGTCCGCTTTCATAAGAACTAGGAGCAGGAGTAGGCCATCCAGCCCCTCGAGCCTGCCCCGCCATTTAATAAGATCACAGCTGATCTTTTTGAGACTCACCTCCACTTACTAACCCACACACCATAACCCTTAATTCCTTTACAGTTCAAAAATTTATCTAGTCTTGCCTTAAACACATTCAGCGAGGTAGCTTCAACCGCTTCACTGGGCAGGGAATTCCACAGATTCACAACCCTTTGGGTGAAGAAGTTCCTCCTGACCTCTGTCCTACATCTGCTTCCCTTTATTTTGAGGCTATGCCCCCAGTCCTAGTTTCACTTGCTAATGGAAACAACCTCCCTGCCTCCACCTTATCTATTCCCTTCATAATCTTATATGTTTCTATAAGATCTCCCCTCATTCTTCTGAATTCCAATGAGTACAATCACAGCCTACTCAGTTTCTCCTCATAATCCAACCATCTCAACTCTGGAATCAACCAAGTGAATCTCCTCTGTACCCCCTCCAGTGCTAGTATATCCCTTCTCAAGTAAGGAGACCAAAACTGCACACAGTACTCCAGGTGTGGCCTCATCAGGACCCTATACAGCTGCAGCATAGCCTCCCTGTTTTTAAACTCCATCCTTCTAGCAATGAGAAACAAAATTCCATTTGCCTTTTTAATTACCTGTTGCACCTGCAATCCTACTTTTAGCAATTCATGCACAAGAACACCCAAGTCCCTCTGCATAGCAGCGTGCTACAATTTTTTACCATTTAAAACATAGTCCATTTTGCTGTTATTTCGACCTCACACTTATCAACATTGTACTCCATCTGCCAGACCTTTGCCCACTCAAGACTATCTATATCCCTCTGTAGACTTTCAGTGTCTTCTGCACACTTTGCTCTACCACTCATCTTAGTGTCATCTGCAAATTTTGACACACCACACTTAGTCCCCAACTCCAAATCATCTCTGTAAATTGTAAACAATTGCGGTTCCATCACTGATCCCTGAGGCACACCACTAGCCATTTACCCCTACACTTTGCTTTTTAGTAGTCAACCAATCCTCTATCCATGCCAATACATTACCTGTAATAACGTGTAACTTTATCTTATGTAGCAGCCTTTGGTGTGGCACCTTGTCAAATGCCTTCTGGAAATCCAGATAGACTACATCAACAGGTTCCCCATTGTCCACCATGCAAGTAATCTCCTCAAAGAATGCCACCAAATTAGTTAAACATGACCTACCCTTCATGAACCCATGCTGGGTGTTCCCAATGGGAGAATTTATATCCAGATGTCTTGCTATTTCTTCCTTAATGATAGATTCAAGCATCTTCCCCACTATCGAAGTTAAGCTAACTGGCCTATAGTTACCTGCTTTTTGTCTACTTCCTTTTTTCAAACAGTGGTGTCACATTGGCTGTTTTCCAATCTGCGGGAACCACCCCAGAGTCCAGTGAATTTTGGTGCATAATTACTAATGCATTTGCTATTTCCCCCATCACCTCTTTTAGTACCCTGGGATACATTTCATCAGGGCCAGGAGACTTGTCTACCTTTTGCCCCATTAGCTTGCCCAGCAATGCCTCCTTAGTGATAATGATAGTTTCTAGGTCCTCACCTGCTTTCAGACAATATTTGCCAAGAAGTATTCTAAGAGCTGTAAAGACATCTTTGTAATCTTCTAGAATCTGTTCAGCAGTCAATAGTTTAGCTGTCTGTGAAATGTTGCAAATCTCTTCAAGTACATTTAGGATTATTAGTCCAAGGTTTAGAAATGCCTGAGCTGAAATGAGTGGAATTTGTTTAATGTTTGTCATCTAAAATTTCAGACCTTCACTTTTCCCATTGTATCAGGTTCTCAGCTTCATTTACCCTCTTGGGATATGTATAGTTCCATCATATATCCTTAATCTTATCTTCAAAGGCTTCATTTTTGGATCATTGTCTTAGGTGACTTCACACAGATTTGTGAAGCTGTTGATGTTGACAAAGAACCACGCATTTCATGTTGACTTGATGCTCTCTTTCTGCAGTCATCACTCTAACAGTTGCAATCTATTTATCACCTCAAGACCTGACAATATCAACCTGTTATATAGTGCAGTGTAATTTGTAATAATCATAAGATGATATTTCTCCAGAGCCATCCTTAGAGGCTTTTGCTTCTTGCTAACTAAACATGTGTCTGCCAAGTAATAGTTTCTTGCAGTTAGAGTACTGCTGTCCAGGTTGGACATGCTTCTACTTACATGACATCCTCTGCAAATATTTATATCCTGCCCTTGATCTTTCTGTCAGCTTTACTGCAAATATTTCTTCCATTTTCCTAACCTGTTGCTTTCATTTGCCGTAAAATGCTTTTCAGAGTATTGCAAAACTTTGCCCGTTTTCCATTAATATAATCAGGCATATGATGGACAATTTCAGAGCTTCTGCACGTGTCAATAGTTGTCCAGATATTAAACTTCTGTCTCAGCAGACGTGCTCTTACTGCAGAATTTCTAACACGCAAGACAATGCTCCCTCTGAAAAGATCATCTTTCAGTTGTCTTAATTTAGCCAATCCAGCTAGATGTATCAGAATGGTCAGATAACGATCAATAATCACCCTCTCCCCTTAAGATGTGATGTTGAGTAAATATGACACATAACATTCGATACAAGGCAGCATCTGCTGACACCCACAACCACGCATGCATGCTAATCCTGAAATGTGCATGCATACAATTCTAGACACTACATCATTACGTAGAATCTACACACGGCATCATACACAAATGCAGCATTTAGCATTTGCATTGAAGCATGCACATGCTTTTGAAACAGGATGAAGCACTGGGGAGTGAGAATGTCAGATTGGAGGGACTCAGGAAGAGGGCAACCAGGGAAGGGAAAGCAGCAAGGTGGGAATCAAGAAAGGGAGGAATCAGCAATGAGGATTCAGGGTGAGAGGGAATCTGAGAGGGAGTAAGATTTAGGGAGGAAGGAAAATCAGGGCAGAGCAATCAAAGAAGTGGGATGGGGGGGTGGAATCGGGGAACGGGGGATGATTGTCTCAAAAATTTGCTGGGCTCTTTCCTACAATGCAGAAATGGCCACGCATCAAGCAGGAGTTCATTGGCTGCAAAGCACTTATCTTGAAGTTGCTACAAAATGCAAACGTCTTTTTTTACAATGAAGAATGATTTAGTCCTGAGCATCAAGAATGAGAAAAAGGTAAACAACCTGAAACATTATTTCTCTTTCTGCTGCAGCTGCTGAATTTTCTGTGCTTTCACACATGAAACTAGCTGGAAAAACAAATCCTACGCCTCTCACACATGGTCGTTAAACGTGGAGCTGGAAAAGCACAGGTCAGACATCATCCGAGGGGCACAGAAGTCAACTTTTCGAACCGAAACCCTTCGCTAGGGCTGGGTAGGGGAACCCAGAAATAAAAAGAGAGAGGAGGGTGGGGGAGTGTAGGTGAGATGGAGATACGTAGATGCAGGTAGGGGGTTAGTGTGGTTGGTCAGTGGGAAGGATAGGTGAGTAGGAAGATGGACAGGTTGGGGGTGGAGAGATTTTGAAGCTGGTGATGCAGGTAAGGGGTTATTGTGGTTGGACAGTGCTCCCCTACCTGCATCCACCTATCTCCATCTCACCTACTCACTCCCCTCACTTTATTTATTTCTGGGCTCCCCTCCCCAGGCCTGACGAAGGGTTTCGGCTGGAAGCGTTAACTTCCCCGCCCCTCGGATGCTGCCTGACTGACCTGCTGTGTGTTTCCAGCTCCACATTCATCCACTCCAGCTTCCACCACCTGCCGTCCTGGCTGTCTCCAAGCCTCTCAGATGGGGTTGTCAAAGTCCTCACGTCGCAGGGCGATGACGTGTGCGGCAGTGGTCGCAGGGTGATGATGACTGAGGGCCGCGTGAGGCCTGCGTTCGGCGGCGGAGCTCGAGCAGCGGCGGTAGGGGCAGCATGGTGAAACCCGCGTATAGGGGCCGCGGGACCGTTAACCCGTCCAGATCGAGCACTAACCCCGGTAAGGGGAGAAGGGGAGGTGCCGGTGAGGGGTTGTAAGGGAGGGGGCGTGTTGGTGAGGGGTTGTAAGGGGGGGAGGGGGGCTGCCGGTGAGGGGTAGAGAAGAGATGGAGGTGGCAGCAAATGTTTGTGGATGTGGTGCAAATCCAATAGGCTGCTGTGCCCTTAACTGTCCAGCTTCATGTTTGCTGTTAGATGTGCATTCATTCCAGGCAAGTGGAGATTATTCCATCATGCCACTAACTTGACTTGTTGATGATGAACCAAGCTTTGAGCAGTTGAGTCACTTCCTGCAGGAACCCTAGTGTCTTATCTGCTGTCGTAGCCCATGCATGACTTGTGTAGTTCAGTTTCTGGTCAATGGTAACCCCGGGATGTTGATAACGGGAAATTCAGTGATGGTAGTGTCATTGAATGTCAAGGTACGATGGTTAGATTCTCTCTTATTGGTGATGTTCATTGCCCTCCTATTTGTGTGATGTGAATGTGACTTGCAGCATAACAGCCCAAACCTGAATATTGTCCCAGGCCTTGCTGTATTTGGACATGGACTGCATCAGTTTCTGATGAGTTATTAATGATGATGGATATTATGCAGCCGTCAGCGAATATCTCCACGTCTGACATATGTTGAAAGGAAGGTCATTGCCGAAAATGGTTGTGCCTAGAATACAACTTTGAGGAACTTCTACAATGCTGTCTTGGTGTTGAGACGACTGACCTCCAGCCATCATTTTCCTTTCCGCTTGATATAACTCTAACCAGCAGATATTTTTCCTTTCCCAGTTCCCGTTTATTCTGAAGAAGGGTGCAGACCCGAAACGTCAGCTTTCCTGCTCTTCTGATGCCGCCTGGCCTGCTGTGTTCTCCAGCTCCACACCTTGTTATTCCCATTTATTCTAATTTTGCTGGAGCATTTTGATGCCCCACACAGTCAAATGTGGCCTTGACATCAAAGGCTGTCGCTACCCACCTCACCTTTGGAATTCACCTGTTTTGTCCATATTTGAACAAAGGCTGTAATGAGGTCAGAAGTTGAGGGATGTTGGCAGAACCTAACTGAGTGTCAGTAATCAGGTTATGGCAAAGTAAGTGCTGCTTGATAGCACTGTTGGTGACACCTTCCATCACTTTACTGATGGTCTAGAGTAGACTGACAGCCTGGTAATTGGTAGGATTGTATTTGTCTTGTTTCATGTGTACAGGACACTTGTGCACAAGGTGCCAGTTAGATACCAGTGCTGTAGTATTACAAGAACAGACCCAGAGGACACAGAAGAGAACCCAACCTAACTTGAGCACTTTTTCGTGAGTTGTGATATAGAATGTACTGCTTGAAGGGGTGGTGGAAGCAGGCTCAGTATTAACATTTAAAAGCAGATAGGATATATAGCTGAAGGAAACAGAACAGCAGCCAACACAGACACAATGGGCTGAATGGCTTCCTGCTGGACTGTATTACTATAATTTTGTAATTGGGTAGTTTCGGATTTAAAAATGTAGGGTACTTGAGATATTCTTGACTGTATGCATCTACTAATAAACAGTACGCGAACTGAGGCATGTTAAGAGTGTTGTTGAGCAGAATCTCTCCAAGCTAATGCCAGAATTGTGGGGCTTATTTCATATAAGACAGTGTATCAACACACACACACACCTTGTTCAGTTTACAGTGATTGAGCATCCTCTCTCAGCTTGTAATTAACGATGGTCCCATTTTATCCTTCTACTGAGGCATGCCCTTTATCTTTTATTTCCCAAAGGCAGTCTTTGTTTCACTACGGTTCGGTTTACGGTTTACCTGCACTCGATCTTTTCATTGAGAACTGTCGACGTGACATCAGTCGCCTCAATTTCACTGCCCCTCTCAACAAATGCAACCTATCTCCCTCTGAACTGACTGCACTCGGATCTAACCCTAACTTTGTCATCCAGCCTGCCGATAAGGGTGGTGCTGTTGTTGTCTGGCGTACTAACCTCTACCTTGCAGAGGCTGAGGGCCAGCTCTCAGATACCTCCTCCTACCTTTCCCTGGACCATGACCCCACCATGGCACATTAGGCCATTGTATCCACTACGGTTACGGATCTCATTTCCTCCGGTGATCTCCCCCCATCCGCTTCCAAGCTAATAGTCCCCCAACCCCGCTCAGCTTGTTTCTACCTCCTGCCAAAAATCCACAACAGGACTGTCCAGGTAGACCCATTGTTTCAGCCTGCTCATGCCCTACAGAACTCATCTCTTCCTACCTTGACTCAGTCTTCTCCCCCCCGGTCCAATCCCTACCCACATACATCCATGATTCATCTGACGCCTTATGCCGGTTTCAAAGCTTCCAGTTTACCGGCTCCAGCCACCTCCTCTTTACCATGGATGTGCAATCCCTTTATACATCCATTCCCCGCCAGGAGGGTCTTAGGGCTCTCCGCTTCTTCCTGGAGCAAAGACCTGAACCAACCCCACCCACCACCACCCTCCTCCGCTTGGCTGAGCTTGTCCTCGCCCTCAACAACTTCTCTTGCAACTCCTCTCATTTTCTTCAGGTAAGAGGGGTTGCCATTGGTACCCGCATGGGCCCTAGTTATGCCTGTCTCTTCATGGGGTACGTGGAACATTCCTTGTTCCAGTCCTATTCCGGCCCCCACCCACAACTTTCTCTGATACATCGATGATATCATCGGTGCTGTTTCCCGCTCTCGTCAAGAATTGGAAAAGTTCATCAATTTCGCCTCCAATTTCTACCCTGCCCTCACTTTCACCTGGTCTATCTCTGACTCCTCCCTTTCCTTCCTCGACATTTCTGTTTCCATTTCTGTGGATAGACTGGCCACTAATATCCATTACAAACCCACCGACTCCCACAGCTACCTGGACTATACATCCTTACGCCCCACTTCATGTAAAGACTCCATCCCATTCCCTCAGTTCCTCCGTTTCCGTTGCATATGTTCAGATGAGGCCAACTTCGACTAGGGAGCCTCCGAAATGTCCACATTCTTCCTCAACCGAGGATTCTCCAGCTCCGTTGTCGACAGGGCCCTCAATCGGGTCCGACCCATCTCCCGCACTTCTGCCCTCACCCCTTCTCTTCCCTCCCGCAACAGCGATAGCGTTCCCCTTATCCTCACCTACCATCCCACCAGCATCCACATCCAGAAGATCATCAGATGCCATTTCCGCCACTTCCAGCAAGATGCCACCACCAGACACACATTCCCCTCCCCTCCCTAGTCCACCTTCTGCAGGGACCGTTCCCTCCGGGACACCCTGGTCCATACTTCCTTCACCCCCAACACCTCCCCACAGCCCTACGGCACCTTCCCCTGTAACCGGTGAAGGTGCAACACCTTCGCATTTACCTCCTCCCTCCCCAGTATCCAAGGGCCCAAACATACCTTCCAGGTGAAGCAACACTTCACCTGCACTTCCAAGAATCTAGTCTACTGCATTCGCTGCTCACAATGTTGTCTCCTCTACGTTGGGGAAACGAAGTGTAGACTTGGCGACCCCTTCGCAGAACATCTACGTTCTGCTCGCAAAAAAGGACCCTGAGCTACCTGTTGCCTGCCACTTCAATGCACCACCTTGCTCCCTGGCCAACATCTCTGTCTCCGGCTTGCTACAGTGTTCCAGTGAAGCCCAGTGCAAGCTGGAGGAACAACACCTCGTTTTCCACTTGGGGACCCTACAGCCCTCTGGACTCAATATTGAGTTCAATAATTTTAAGGCCTAAACTCTCTCATGTCCCAGCCCCCACCCCACATCGCCTGCCACTACACACCATCTGTTGTTAGTCACTAACAGTCCTCATTAACAACTATTCACCCTCCCAGCCTGATCGTTAGCAACTCCTTTGTCTGTCCAACTGTCTTTCTCTCTGTTTGGGCTCTATCCAATCGTTTACTCCCTACCCCAGCCACCTCCCTGTTTTCTGCATAGAGACTGACGTTTTCCCAGCCACCATCAGTTCTGAGGAAGGGTCACCGGACCCGAAACGTTAACTCTGTTTTCTCCTCCACAGATGCTGCCAGACTTGCTGAGCTTTTCCAGCAACTTTGTTTTTGTTTCACTACTCTTGCCCCATCCCCAGTTCACCCAGTACTGATGAGTGATTCACTGTCACTGTCACTGTCATTGTCATTGCCACTGCAGTCATCTAACTAAGATAAAATTTTACTGCTTGTAGTGGATAAGAATGCCTGATCTCTCAGGAGTGCTGCAAAGTCGTGATGACAGCTTGGAATTAGGGAGGAATTAATTTGAGGAGAGGTGGATCCACCTCTCCTCAATTACCAATTAAATATTTGGCCATTCTCTCCTGAGAATCCGAATGGTGAGGGTATGTAAAATCTCTTTTAGGGTGCATTGTTTATGGTCTTTGTAGTGTGACCGAATTCATATGTGAACGTGCGTGATTGCTATTTTTGCTTTTTGATAACAATGAAGACCTGGTTATCAACAAAAATGGCATGTTTATATAATAAAACAAAGAACTGTGACCGCTGGCTATCTGAAACAAAAACAGAAGTTGCAGGAGAAACTCAGCAGGTCTGGCAGCATCTATAAGGAGAAAACAGTTAACATTTCAAGTTCTGAAGAAGGGTCAATTGACTTGAAATGTTAACTCTGATTTGTCTTCGTGGATTCTGCCGGACCAGCTGAGTTTGTCTAACAGTTTATGTTTTTGTTTGTTGTGCAAATTTATATAGTTCCTCTAAAGTAAATCAAGGTGTTTCCTGGGTAAAATGAAACAAAATATGACAAGCCATGCAAGGACATATTTGGACAGATGGCCAAAAGCTTCACCAAATAGCATTGCTGCCAGTGTTG